GGATCCCTATCATCTACATGAATGTTATAAATGTCTGGAGGTGAGCAAGCAAAGTGGTGTTTGTTCTCATGGCACTGATTTACCTGGATCACCAGCCTCCGCCCATTACTGACTTCTGAGAAAATAAGTCTTTACTCTACTGGAGATACCATGCATATGCATGTTTTTGGATCCATTCACATTGTTAACCGGGAAGGAAGTTCTTGCTGTGAGTACTTTGGTAAGGCATATAGCAAGATCATCCTTCCATAATGCTGTCCACTTCAGCAATTCAGTGGTGTTGTAGTATATCTATGTTTGCATTTTAGGGAGGGACATAAGGACTTGGTGAGACTGAATAGGTAAGGGGTTTCCTGGAGGAAATAAGCAGAGCTTATGGACTTCTGTTCCAATGAAGCCATATTTCCCAATCCTCAGCCATCCCAAGCCCTCATATGCCCATCCCCTCTCCTCTATTCCCCTCCCAGTTGACCCAGGAGATCTTAACTATTTCCCCTTCCTGGGGTGATCCCTCTTAGGATCCTCCTTTTTTCCTAGCTTCTCTGAGGTTGTGGATTGTAGCCTAGTTATCCTTTGCTTTACATCTAATACCCACTTATGAGTGAGTATATACTGTTTGTCGTTCTGTGTCTGGGTTACCTTGCTTAGGATGATTTTTTCCAGTTACATCCATTTGCCCCATGTGGGAAGCCTTAAGTTCCAACTACAACACCACAAAATAAGCTCAAAAAATCCCAATAGCAATCTCTATATATGGTAACTAGCTAGCCAGCTAGCCAGACACCCTTTCCATTGTCTCTAAGAAATACATACTTTAATCTGAAGACTGAAAATACCAGCAAATAGGATTTTCAGTTTCCAGGAAGGAACCAGCCCCTAGCTGGATGCCCGGACTTGACAGCAAAATGACAAGTATTGCCCATATAATACCGTGTTTCCTTGGAGACATTACTCCGGGTAGAGATGATGAGTACCAAAGAAAAGGGTTTTCCTCTTAAGATTTTTGGATGTGTAAGACATTATCTTATGTAAATTATCTTTTCCCTAAATAAATATTTAATGGGCATCATAACAAAAATTGCACATCTTATGAGGTACACACATATACATATGTAATATACCTTTTGATGTTGAAAACATTTAAAAATCATTCTGTGCTCTTTAAAGAGACAGTACATTACGGTTATCTTGGTCACAAAACTGTTTTAGAAATAGGTATTCATGCTAGTCTTGAACTCAAGATCTTCCTTCCTCTCCTTCCAAGTACTAGGATAATAGACACTCCAAAGTTTTCTCAGCTGCCTTACTGAATTTTTAAGTAAACTATTCAATGGCTCTTAACACACTGACAATGTTTGAAAACAATCACCTCTGTCTAGTTCCAAAACAATCTTTATCACACTAAAAATCTACCATCCTAAACTCATCAAGCAGTAATTCCAGCATTCCCTTCCACTACCCTTCTCAGCCTCTGGAAATAATTATTTCCAATCTCTCTAGAGTTGACTATTCTGGCCTTTCAGGTAAGGTTAGGACTCTAATATGAAAAAAGCCATAAATGTGCTTTGTTTTGTTTTTCAGAGTGTCTCCTTCTGTGTAGTCTTGCTTTCTATGGTTTCCATCACATGTGATCAATCTTAGGTTGAAAATATTAAGTGGAAAAAATTCCATAAATAAATTATAATATTCAAATTGTGTGTAGCAGGATAAACTCTCATGCCATCCTGTA